ATGTGAAACTCCGACGAAACAGTTTGTCACAGCCCCTCGTTTGTTGTCCTCTTCTCCCTCTCTGCCTACGGTTTACCGGGCAGTTCTATTTGACGATATATATATATCGTCAATATATTGTGACGATATATATATATTCTGTTTGTGACGATATATATATATATATAACTGTGTTAGTCCCTGGGTGGCCCGGCTGGGGGAAGGTTGCCTGGGTACCTTCCCGGGCTCCCGGGGCTGGGCAGGGCCGGGGCAGAGTCCTGGGCGATCCCAGCGCATAATATTGAAAAAAATCGAAAATAAAAAAAAACAAAAAAAATCCGGAAAAAAAAATGTTGTGTAAAATTGCAATTTAAATGAGTTTTAGGCTTTAGCTGAGGGCCACCTCGAAACTCCTGGTTAATTTTAAGATAAAAAATAAATGAGAAAACAAGAGTCCAAATGTACCCTTTCAAACCTGTTTATAGCCCCCAAACACCCCTGGATGACCCATCACCGAAACCGGAGTTAAGACCGGATGCTGACTGCTTAGGCCAAGCGCAGTCCTGGCCTGAAGTCCTTGTTTTTTTTTTTTTGGGTCCTTGCCTCGTTTTTGACCCGTCTGGTTTTGCCGGGCGACCCACCCTCTGCCCAACTGGCCCGGGTGTGCCTGGCCGGGCATGCCAGGCCGGGCAACGGCCCAACATAGATATATAATTAATTTATTCCAAAAAAAATTCAGTTCCATCTCCTACTCATGACTGCATGGTGAAGGAGATCTCTCAACTTCAGCCACACAAGTGACGCAGCAGATCACAAGAGAACCCAGAACAGCATCCTGATGATCTTAGTAAGAGAAGCAATATAGCATCATGCATCACATACGTATCAATAGCTGCACCAGAGACATTGTCATGTCCTTCGGGACATCCGTTATAATTGGAACGATACGGAGAAAGAAGATTAGCATAGCCCCTGCACAAGGATGACACGTCTGTGCCCTCCTCCCGCTCCTCCCCGTCCACGTCTGTGCCCTCCTCCCGCTCCTCCACGTCTTCGTTCGCCTCCCCCTCGTCTTGGTTGTTGTCATGTACTCGCTGTAACCTATCCCTCCCTGCCCCTACCCGTGCCACATGGCCTTTTCGTTGTTTTCAATCCGTTTGCAGTACTTCATAGCGCACTTTTTTTTTTTTTTTAATAATCCGGACATATACACCCATCCGGACAGGGATCCTGACAGGTTGATCTGGACATGTCCGGATTAACTGGAAATTACCTGAAATCTGGACGTTCGGACGAAACCGGGAAATCCGGTTTCCGGTGTCCGGACTTATCTAGTTCACTTGTCCACCGCTGCCATGATAATAATATTACCCTAAACATACATGTAAGATATGAGCAGGAGAAGCAATAGCATCACAAATCAAGTGCATATTAATAGCTGAAGCAAAACCATCATGATCAGATTCTCCAGCAGAGCCAACAACATCAATCTCGGCAGACGATTGTTGCCTCCTGCAGATATCACCTCCAGCTGCTGATGACATGTGATGCCAGCACTTTTTCTTCGCTCTCTCTCTCACCCTCTCTCTTCCCACCCTCTCTCTTTCTCTCTCTCTCTCTCCCCCTCTCCGTCTCCCTCACACACACATATGACCCTGCGAAGACACAAGGGTGGAATCTGAGGGCAACATCACTTGGATAGGTACAGCTTCCCCCCTCCCACTTTTCTCTATCTTGGAGAGAGAGAGAGAGAGAGAGAGAGAGAGAGAGAGAGAGAGAGAGAGAGAGAGAGAGAGAGAGAGAGAGAGAGCACTATGGAGAAACAGCTGCTGGGTGTAAGAGTGGGTAATCTCTGCGATCGGGTACTTGGGATACCTGTAAAAATTTGGCAGTCCGCTTTGGTCCCGGTATGTCAATAATTTGCCCTGGGTATATCCATAATTTTCACAGACCGGTAGATGGGTTTTACTGCAATTTGCAAGTGCCCACCGTGGACCGGGCATGCGAACAGTTTCCACAGAGCATTTCCCTGGCAGTGGTATGCATGCAAGATGGGCCCTGGAACCGTGTATGCACGCAATTCCCACCTCTAAACAGGGTCCAGAACACTACAGATGCAATAGTGTGTCATCTTGCGCAGGGGCCCATGCCAATCAATCTTCACTGTATCGTTTCAATTTCCGCCTTTTAAAAGGGCGATTGGCCTTGAGATATCATCATTTAGCTGACCGGCCCCAGGTAATTCATAATTATTTTGATGGCATCCGGATTA